AMWMTAAACAAAGTGTTTATTATTTTTTAATTCTTCATGTTTCCTATTTCAATTTAGAATTTATAATCATAATCGAATGAATTAGCTGCACTAAAATGACAAAAGGGAATCTTAACTAATAATAGTAATAGTTATTTTTGAATATTCTATAATAGTCTTTGACGAACTTTGTTTCCTTCACTCAGGAATGAACACTGATGCAACGCCTGGAACATTCTGTGAAATAAGAATTAAGGAAACAAATAATCAGTAAAATAGTATTGTAGTTCAATAGTCCCCTTCACAGTTCCCTGCGCCATTTTGTGAATAATGAACATGAACATGTGAATAATTGTCAAAGGTGTTTAAAAGATGGTCTCTATCATTGCAAGCTCACCGTTCGTCTCGCTTCGATGCAAAGGCACGTTAACCTTTCAAGATGGCGCAGGGAACTGTGAAGGGGTCTATTAAAGCCAATTGCATGGAGCAGTTTTAATTTGTATCATTATTAAAAAACTATGCACTTGTCATGCTGTGATCTTGATGCGCTGTTCTCAGTTATTATGGCACCGCCGAGCTTAAGCTAATCTAGATCTGTGGTGACAGCGATTCCCTTTGTACCATCAATGCCTTGCCGTGTCCAGCAAACATGCCATTTTTCATGCGCGTATCAAAACTGATTTATGTCTTTAAAAGGACCGAARACAGATTGAGGGAAGCCTAAGGGGTCCGCTTAGGTGGGAGAAAAAAATAGACTAGCATATATAAGGTGGCTTCATTTAACTTGAAAATTTAATACCAATAGACATTAGCCAAAACTGGGGTGGGACTTTAGCATCGACACACATTCCTCTTCGCGGCCCATGTTATAGTTTCGCAGCCCTCTATATATTTAGTCATATCACCAAATAGGTATGATAAGCTGTAAAAAAAAATTGCAGTGCTGTGTAATTTCAATTACCTCTATACTTATCGGCCGTTACCACAGTAACGCGAGAAACATCCAATTTCTGCAGGCTTTAGTTTGTAGACGTAGAACCTTCCACAGTTACGGACCTTGATTGGTTCCTCCCCAACACAACAGTTATTTTGTTCTGGATAATGAATGCAAACCTTGGCATCTGTGATACCTTGAGACGGCTGAGGATGGGATCCCTGTGGAATTTCATATAACACGATGTCAAGGTGTCAAGTTGGTAGTCGTAGTGTAGTTGTAGTTGTAATGGTAATGTGGTGGTAAGTGTAGTGGTGTTGATAGCATTAATGGTAGAGGTAATTGAAGCTGTGGTAGTAGCTGTAGTGGTAAAGTAGTTAGTGGTAGAGGTGGTGGTGGAGATGGAAGACGTAAAGGTGGTTATAGAGGCAATGGTAGTGGGAGAGGTGATAGATTAGTTAAGGTATGTTGGTTATGGTGGTGGTAGTGGTTGTTGGGATTGTTGTGGTGGTAAAGGAAGTTATAACGGTAATATGTGGTGATGGTAGAGGTGGTGGTAGTGGTCGTGTGTCAAGTCGTAGGGACTAATAATTTTAGTGACACTTGTGGTGCTAAAGGCAGTGGTAAATAGGAGAACATCCTAACAGTCTCACAGTTCTTACAGTAATTCATTCATAACTATCATGCTTCAACATCAAGTACCTTCATCCATCCTGCCATGTGGGTCCCACAACTCCACTTTGCCGGACAAGTGTTAGCGATAGCGTTACCAGCCTTGCCCTTGAATCGATACCAGCCTGGGACCATGTGTTCATCACACAAGAAAGGAGCTAACTTTTTGCTGTAGGTCATGGCTCGATCCTCTGAATCTAGGACCCTGGGTGCTTCACATTCATTATCTAAAGCATCAACAAATACAGAAAGTGCATGTTAGTGTTTGTTGAGAATATTGGTAAGACAAAAAATACAGCAAGTGCATGTTCGTCTTTCTTGAGAATATTGGTAAGACAAAAATACAGCAAGTGCATGTTCGTCTTTCTTGAGAATATTGGTAAGACAAAAATACAGCAAGTGCATGTTAGTGTTTGTTGAGAATATTGGTAAGACAAAAAATGCAGCAAGTGCATGTTAGTGTTTGTTGAGAATATTGGTAAGACAAA